TGGCCAAGCAAACTTTCTTGAAGCAATAAATGCTTTCATGAAGACAAGAAGACTTAAGAGAGGAAACCCAGTAGCCTTCCAACACCTGTGAGAAGGTCATCAAGAAGATGGAGCCAGGCTTTTAACAGGGTGGCTTTGTGAGAGAAAGAGAGACAACAGGCAAAAAGAAAAGTTCAGGCTGGACATAAGGAAAAACTTTTTCACAATAAGGATAGTCAAGCATTGGAGCAGATTGCTTACAAAGGTTATACAGTCGCCATCCTTGGAAGTTTTCAAGACCAGACTGAACAAAGCCTTCAGCATCTTGGTTTGATCTCATTTTTGAGCAGGAGGTGGGATTAAAGACCTGCTGAGGTCCTTTCCAACCTGAATTTTCCTATGAACCCAAGAGGCAACCTTTGAAGAGTGGAGGCAGTTTTTTAGAAAAGTGTAAGCTTTACTTCTTAAGACTATTGTGTACTGAATGAGCAATCTTTTCCGTCCACAGGATATTATGAAAATTTCCAAAAGAAGCAAGAAAGGCTTCATATTTATTTATATGGTTTTATATATTTATATGCTTTTTTATTATTGGATGCACTTTTGTCCAAGCTCTTCTTATGTACTTGGTATAATCTTAATCTCAGACCATTCTGCCACTCAGGTATTACTTTGCTGATAGTGATTGAATTTCACACCAATTTTACAACATTGTAAAAAAAGGCTAGAGAATTTTGAAACAGGAGAGCAAGCAATCTTTTCTCTCGGTGAGTTAGATGTGTGGCAAACTGAGAACAAAACACTGAATATGTAATCATCACGTAGTAGCAGTGTCACATAGATCATACCAGAATAGTGCTGAGATCCTTCTCTTACCCAGTTACTGAAAGCTATTGGAAATGCATTAATGTCAAAAGAAATGAGCTTTTGTGCCAGTAATTCTCTTTTGGCCACCTTCAAATAAATTCACCATAATGGGGATTTTACTGAAAACTGAAAAAGACAGCTGCTTCACCCAGCAACACTTTGGAACCTCTGGTTCTTCTCCAGCTGGCTGGGTTGGATGGAGGCAGGATGGTGGCCCTGCTCTCCTCAATGAAGCTGTATAAACATTAATTCAGTGTATATTTAATACAGTGTTTATATATAACAGAGTAAGAAGAAGAAAAATAAAGACAGACAGATAAAGATGCTGGCAGAAGAAAGACATTTTAATATAATCTCCAACAAAGCAGACATACAAGATGGGGAAGACCTGTGGATTTTTCCACCTCTGACCAAATCCTTGAACTCTCTCTTCGCAAAGCAACAGTAGATCTGGCTTTTATCTCACCTTGTACATCCTAAATCCTGCATAAAGCTTACCAATTTATGTGATAGCTGTGCTGGCTTTTACAGAAAATTAAAATGCAGAAAAAGTTATAACTTTATTATTTCTTAATTGATTGCATCGTAGCTGTTAATTTGATAAACATACATCTTCTGTAGGTTTGAACATACCAATTCACCATGTACTTCTGAATAGTTATGAATTTGCCACAAAATTAAGTATCAACAACTTAAGGAAATATACCTCCTTGAGAATGATATGTGACTTCTGCCAATATATTGCTGTATTTTTATGTGAATAACCCAAACCCTTCCAAATGCATGACTATAAGCTTATTACTCACATGAAAAGTGATGGCTTCAATCTGGAAGTATGTATATCTCAGAGAAATAGACTGTATTTTGCATGGCATTTTTTGATTTGTTTTAGTCTGATGTGTAAAATAAGTTATTGCATAACTTGATATTATGCAATAAAGTCGTATCGAGTCGATAGTGAACTTACATTCTGTATAAGTTATAACTGCATTTAAATTTTCACGTCTCATTTGTCTTTTACAAGTATTTTCCCTGTTTTACTTTAAGCTTATTGAGTGTCATCATTTCTTCTGAAGCCTGTATATTCTGGAAAGGCATGTATTTTGTACAACATTTAAAGTATTCAAATGAAATAACCAGTTGGGAAATTCTGAACAAATTTTTGAACAGATATTTGGGAAACTCCTGATTGGTTGTTTTAGTTTTGCTTAATCTCAATGCAAGCTGAAGATACTGAGGGCAAATAGTCAAACATCCTTGCCCAGAGAAATGGATTTTGCTGTCAAAGACAAATACTTTCTATACTTTACCAACTGAACCTGCACATCTAAAGTACTTATTTGTACCTGTTACTAAACAGAAGAGGAGGGGAAAGAATAGAGGTCTTTAACTATTTCTAAAAGGAAATGCTGGACTCCAACAAGAATTTCATTTGTTCTCCAAGCCTGAAAGGAGATAAAGAATACATTAGACTGTATTTCAGGTTGTGTTGTCAGTTTTAAAATTAACTTCAGAAACATAAAAATGAAAGAAAGGAAAAAAGATCTTTTAATTTAGAACTTTTAAGACAAAAAAATCATTCATCTACCCTTTTGCATTTTCATTTCTCTACCTCGAGACTGAACAAGGCAACAAAAGCATGTTTGCAGAGTAGCCCTTTGTAAAAAGCTTTCCAATGTTGTTATTACAATGCTTTAACAATCCCAGCAAGACCCTGTGAAAGTACCTGCTTTAATTCCGCTCTGTTTAGAAAGCAAATGGTAACGATCTGCAAACCCTGAGGTAACCTTCACTGAGACCTCTCATTCCCTCCCCTGCATTACTGTCATTAAGGATATTGAGCATTCCCATGCTTACTGTTTATGAAACTTATTTTCCACTCCATTGGCTTCTGCACACATTTATCCACGCCCCCCCCACCCCGCTAATGTAAAGCAGGGCCCTCAGTTTGCTTCTAAGATACTGATGTAACAGTTTGAAAGGGTCAGGATCAATAAAGTAAAGAGCAGTAAGTATGTTGACATTTTTTAGGCCTAGCAGACTTTGGTTTGGCTGAACCTATGCTTCTCATGTTGTTTCCTGCAGGGCACTCTGCATGTAGTAATCATGCCGGGAGTGAATACGTTTGTGTGCAAATACAGAAATGCTTATTGAACATCTCAGTTGAAGAGAGTTTGGGAAGGAGACAACAGAGCACTGGACTGGGACTCAGCACACTTAGCTTCTGTATGAAGCTGTCTGACTCAGCTTAGTGGCTCTGGGCAAATAATTTCTCTCTGGTTTTTGTATACGTTTGAAATTTATTGAGGAAAAGTTGTGTGAGACTGATAACATAACTGTTTCCCCAAAAGTATTTAATCAGAATACATTCCTTCTTCTACTACTCTTCCTCTCTGCTTAACTCTACTTTACCTCTGACAGTTTTTCTTTATAAACAAAACTGAATCCCCATCCCCAAAAAGAAAACCCTCCAGTTCTCCTTTGATTTGGATGCAACCATTATCGGAAACTCCATATAGCCAACGATGCACAAACACTGCAGCAGTTACTGTGCCTCTCGTCTCCTTTTAGTCTAGAAAGAAGTCAGGTAAGAGTGAAGTGATGTGCTTACAGGAAAAGGGAACACAAAGCTATCGCAGATATGGGAATAGTGGAGTCTCTCAGCCCATTTTCTTCTCCCAGTTAGAAAGGCTACTACTGCACCTCATAAGTGTCCTCAGGTTTCACTATGGTGCTGAAGCACAAAATACTCCCTTAGTAGCACTAATCCGTAGATTTTACTCTCCTTCATCTTGCTAAATTAGAATTTACAAACTTTTTTTGATCAATGGTTCCTGCTATCAATGGCTCCATCCTTCAAATCTGGGAGGTTTTCCCTTTCCTCACAAGCAGTCAAGGAAGAAAAGCTGCCTTTTATCTGCCAGGTTGACTCCATATCCTTCTCAGACCTTGCCACTGAGCCATCTCTTATCTATGACACATCAGGTCCCTACACATTTGTAATATGCTGGCCGTACTTATGAAGCCTCTTTACTTTTTGTTCCCCTGCCTATGCTTAGTGATTAGTTGAGTCATCCAGACCTGCACTGCCAGGATGACCAAGTGCTACTGCGTTCCTTTTCAGCTACTTAGGGCAACATGTAGCTCATCTTGTCTAACTGAACTTCAGAAGAATTTTAAAAGTGTTGACTGTCCTTTGTTCTGCAAGAATACCTTTTATAACTTGGGGTCTAATAGTTGTCAATGTTGATAATGCCTAGTCCTTTCTGAAACTGATGGATGATGCTAGGTAACAGCCTGTGGCTGAAAAACAATCAGGATGGAAAAGGCATTTGAGAGAGACATTCTTGATACGGTATGGTTTAGGAGATGATCACATGAAAAGATGTGCCCTTGTTAGATTACTGTACTTCATAGAATGAGTCAGATTTGGACCTTTTAAAGGCCTGAAATGTTTGTTGTAAGACACTTATCTCTAACCTTCTTCTGGTGAGCTGCCTATAAATTCAACTTAATTTCATTTGCAGAAGAAACATGACAACAGCTTTTCTAAATAAAGACAAAAGGGATCCCAAAGCCTAAGAGTGTTAAGTGTTTGCTTTGGATGAGTGTAGGGAGGTGGTTTTTTCAGCCACTGTGTGTTTACCTGACAGTTTTCTGATAAGCAGTGTGATACTGAAACCCCACTTTGTGACAGTGCTAACACCATCTGCCAGGTGCTGATAGCTTGCTGAATAATGCTGTCATCAGCACTCAAGTGCTGATGGAAATTTATTGCTTCAGTAACCACTACCGCTTTCATCTTCCATCTAATTGGTTGCTGCCACTAAAAACTATTATACCAAAAAAAAAAAAAAAAGAAAATCACAGGTCATTTTTCTTTATCATGATGAATTACTTCTGGGCTACCTTGCAGTGCCACCGTTGTGTATTTATTGTTTTCTGCTTCCTGCCAATTTTACTTATCTACGCTGTAGAGTGAATTTTATTGCCTACCTATGATTGCTCTCAGTACCTGATTTGGTGACAAATACCCATAGAAAGTTTCACTAGACCTTGATGTAGTGAAATACCTGTTAAGAGCATATTCTGCTACACACAGTGGGCCAGTCTGCCTCATGAGGTAGGATATAGTGCAATCATTTGCTTAATCTTTATTCAACGTCAATTGTTACAGCTAAATTAGTACCAGCTGAAAACCAGGCCAGATAGTTTAAAGAAAATGTATACAGAAAATTTTGGAAGTATTTTAATCATCAAGAAACCACATCCAAATGCATTTACTTAAGAGTAAAGAAATACACTGCGCAGGCTGCACAGACATGCATGCCCCAGAAAATTCACTGATGGTGGCTGAGAAAAACAGCCTTCATAGTTTTACGCTGCAGCATTGAGCTACTAAAATAAATACATGTGAAGAACCTCAAGTGTTTAGAATGGCTGAGAACATAATGTAATACAACTTAAGCCAGAATCAGTTCTCACTTGCGTCAGTATAAATGTGGACTAAAGCTATTTTGGCTTTAAAATGCTGTACTGGAGATTTTGGTTTGGCTTCCTATTTTTTGGCAGGATTTACCTTTCTTTTGCAGGATGTTCTGTCTTGCTTTAATGAAAGCTAGGATGTCAGCATCAGCCTGGCTGTCTCCAGTCAGAGGAATAGATGTACTTGAACTTGGTGGGGCCCTGAAATAAGAAAGTATACTTGTGGACCCAACTGAGTAAGAAGGTTATTTTTTCTATTCCATTATCTCCTCTCTTTTTTCAGCATGGAGGACTTTGTTCTCCAGATACATTGTTAGAGATGGCAGAGTTCAGAGGAGAATCAAGCTCAGGACTTCTTAATGCTCTTATGTAGATTCTTAGGATTAGCCAGTATCTTCTTAGTTTGGCAGGGCTACATGCTTATCAGCTATAAAACCTCACACAAAGGGTTAAATATATTTTACTGATGAGTCAAAGACATACTGCCAAGCAGAAAAGCCTGCTATACTGAGTTCACCAAAGAAATGAGTACGCCACGTGTGTGTGTTTGCTTCAGGAAAAAATGCTGCTATTTATTTGAACATAGAATCATAGAATCATAGAATGCTTTGGGTTGGAAGGGACCTTTAGAGGTCATCTAGCCCAACCCCCCTGCAGGGACCAGGGACAGCTTTAACCAGATCAGGTTGCTCAGAGCCCCATCCAACCTGACCTTGAATGTTGCCAGGGATGGGGCCTCCACCACCTCTCTGGGCAACCTGTTCCAGTGCTTCACCACCCTCATTGTAAAAATTTCTTTTTTATGTCTAGTCTAAATCTATTCTTCTTTAGTTTAAATCCATTACTCCTTGTCCTGTCACAACAGGCCTCGCTAAAAAGATTGTCCCCATCTTTCCTATAGGCCCCCTTTAAGTATTGAAAGGCCGCAATCAGGTCTCCCCGCAGCCTTCTCTTCTCCAGGCTGAACAACCCCAACTCTCTCAGCCTGGCCTCATAGAAGAGTTGCTCCAGCCCTCGGATCATTTTTGTGGCCCTCCTCTGGACCCGCTCCAACAGGTCCATGTCCTTCTTGTGCTGAGGGCCCCAGAGCTGGACGCAGTGCTCCAGGTGGGGTCTCACCAGAGCAGAGTAGAGGGGCAGAATCACCTCCCTCGACCTGCTGGCCATGCTGCTTTTGACACAGCCCAGGATACAGATCAATAGTATTTTTGCCTAATGTAAGGGAATTAAGTTTTCATACATACATAGAAGTAAACAATCACATGACATTCATGACATTTGCTGATAGATGCAACTCCTTTGTGCTCCTGAGTCTCCAGACCCAGCTGAGGTCTTGTATCTATGCAGTTAAATCATTGACTTACCTCTGCTTTCGATAGACCCTCCGGTGGTATAAGATGCTGTAGTACAATGAAGCTATTCTAATCAGCTAAGAAAACTAAGAATTTGGCCCTGTTTCTTTAGCCTTGTTTAAAGATTAAGCACTAATGGTGAAATGAGAAATATAGTGATAAAAATTACAATATGGAAGCACAAGTGGAACTGAAGGGAGAAGCTTTTTTTTACATATCCTACCTTTGTAATTACAGTTATTTCCACTGTTCCTTACTGACTGTTGCAGTAGAATGTAATTGTGCCTGACATAAACAGAAGTCTGATATCCTTGTCTTTGTGCTACTAATTAAGTCCTCAGTTGCTGAATTAGTGAACCAAAATGGAAAAAAAATATAGAAATTACTATGAACTTAATAAAATATCTTTTTATGTAATTTACAATGTCATCTAAGAACACCAGTAAAGGACTATTCCCTTATTGATTTTCATTTTGATTAGCAACAACATAAAAAATAAAAAACACACAATATATTTGAGAAGGTACTGTCTAAATTCCATTTTAGCTTCTCTTTTTCTTCTCTTTTTCTTAAACAGAAATGCAATTTAAAACTTTAGGTTTTGGGGGATGAAATCTTCTATGGTTTTTTGCTGTTCTAGAAATGGATTGTTTTGGAAAATGAAAGAAAAAAACCCTTGCGATTTGTTCTTATTAGTGCAGTAGGAAAAATAGTAACTTAGCAGTATTTTCCTAAGGACCTTAATAGCCAGAACTGTTGAGCACAATAAGAATGTAACTTCTGGAAGTATGCTGACCTGGCATGGTGTTTTGGTGGGAGAAAAGAACATGGAAATGAGCACATTAGAAAAAATAGAGAAGCTGTCAAAAAAAAAAAAAAGTAGTTTCTGTTAACCTGCTAAGCTAGGTTACACAAAGCAGTACCTCTTTTGAGAAAACATGACACATAACCTTTGCCAAGCCTGACACACACAGCCTGCTAGTGTCATTTTATTTTACTAGAATAATTTCTAGGAGGGAGATTAAAAATATTTTAAGGAGAAAATCACAAGAATGAAAAAATGTCTGCGTAGTTCCTACATTCTGCAATACTTAAGTACTCTGATTTCTCTTCCTTTCAAATGTTTTTATTTACTCTTTCAGAGTCCCTTTCTCTTGCTGAGAAGACACAGTCATGAGGATTCATAAGCTCATGGGGAAAAAAGGCCTCAGGCCAAACAAGAAACCACCTCTTTAATGCTGATAATGCAGCTACTTGGTGTAAAGCTATGGGACAGCTTTGGTGTTGTTTTGGAAGTTGGAGGAAAATCTGCAATTTCAGTTTTATTTTTGTTCTTCAAGGAGACTGTTCAAGAGACTTATAGAGGGTTATTTAGGCATTATATTACTTACTGGTTTGCTTTTTCCTCTGAATAGACCAGGTACGCTTCTTACCTTGTTTTTAAGGTAGGGTTACTAGAAGTGATTGAATTGTTTTTCCCAGCTGGATCTTCATTAGGGCTGACTCCTGTGGTCTCTGAGAAACTGGAATGGGAGCAGAAATGAAGGCAAGAATATAGGCCTTGTGGAGGGAATATTAATAGATGCTGAGTAACTACAAAGAAGCTGTTTTTCAAGACTTTTTTTATCTATATAAAGCACTTGTTGTTTACTGGAAGAGGATTTCTAGTAGAATCCATGTGATGATTAGGTTTATGTAGAGAACATGTCTACAGAAGAATGACAAATAAGCTCATAAAGATTATACTTTTAGTATTTGCCTTCTAAGCAAGGCTTGTAAGGCTTCTTGATGTATCTGATGTACAGTTTGTAATGGTATATTTAGTTCCCAAACTGACTGTTAGCCAAGTGAGGCCTTAGCTCATTTTCCATTCTTTCTTTAGTCAGGCAAAACTATTACCGAAATCAGTGGGAGACTGGATAAAAACTCAGTGAGGACTTTGGGATGTGGCTTGTTGATGATAGCCAAATATATTGCAAACAGCTGTTGTACATTCCTGTCCCTGCAGATAATATTATCAAGGACCCTCTCCCCTAGGAAGGCAGATTTCTGCCACGGGACATCTGGGACTCTCTCCGTTCCCCGGGGGTTGCGTATGCTGCTGGATCTGGTACCAATCTTGGACAGAGTGGAAACACTGAATTACTCAGTTTTAGGATTTTTCCAGTAGATGGCAGGATTGGCAAGTTCTTACTTTTCTAACTCTGCCGTAGTTTGTTCATTGTTGGCTGATGAATTGATATTTCTGGCAGAGAACTTGAAAAAGGAAAGAAATTTATTACTAAAATTTTACTGTATTACACTGTGCCAGGTTCAGTTTTGCAGAAGATATTGTGCCCAAGAGTATAAGTCATTTTCAAATGAACAGCTCCAGGTTTACTGAATGTTTCTCTTTAACTCCTCAAGTCCCATACCATTCACACCTGCCTAAATGGATTAAAATAACCTCAAGACTCAGCCTAATTCAACTAAAGCAATATCGTATTTAATGTTAATAATATGCTGTACTTTATTACGCCTACATATTACAAGAGCTAGAAAGGATGTGTGATGTTATTACCTACTATGTGTTTTAACAATATCTGGGAACTCCACATCATAGTTCTACTTTAGGATTTCCTGAACATTTTTTCCATTGATTTGGCAGTTCTTAAAAACTAAGTGATTTAGGGTCTTAAATTCAATTTTCTAAAAGGACTCTGTGTCTGTGCCCTGAGATACCTAGGCATCCAAGCCATGTAACCATGGTTTAATAAATCACTACACATCAGCTGAACCACATCAACTGTCCATGACTCTGTTCCTAACCTGCAACAAATATAAGGTAATGTGACTTAATGTGATCCTTCTTCATTGCTTTCTTTTCATGGAAATAAGTTCTTTGCTTTTTATTTGGCATGAACAGAATGTATAATTTTATGAATACTGTGAGTCAGCTGAAGTAATTTATTTTTAAGCTGCAGTAGTTTATATGTTTGAACTAATTTTTTCCATTGAATTTAAATGAAAATTATTCTCCAAAATTGTTAAAGCCCCAATTTAAAGGGGACTTAGATCCAGATCCATTAAAAAAACTAGACACTACAGGTGTGGCAGGATTTGACCTCTAGGGATCTCACTTTCAAGTGGATACCTGGACCCAGGACAATATGCCAAAACTTGCCCTAGACTGCTCTGGGACAACTGGGCACCTGAGAAAGGTGATATTAAAAAAACCCTTAGACTGAATGAGGTGATGCCCAGAATCAGGAAATTAACATTACCATGCTCAGAGATAGACCTTAAACTCCTACCCTCTGCCTGTGGGTTACAGCCAGACATTTTTGTCTGTGGGATGCAAACTCTTCTCCTGCAAGTTATGAAATTTATAAGGAACCTTATAACTGTTTTTTGTAATGACTCAAGTGCTGCTTCCATATAAGAGGTTAACAATAAGAGTACTAATCTAACAAATGAGTCCCTCAGCTTGGCAGAACTCAAATCCATGTTTTACATATCCCAGAGATTTCTCTAATCCCTAGGCTAGAGGGATGGCCTGTATGGGGATAATTTGCATCCTTCATACTGAGGTTCTGATAATGTTTCTATGGCATTGCAAGATACGCTGAATCATAAGGGGATGAAAGAGAGTAATTTTGCTGTGCAGTGGTTTGTATGCTCAGATGCAACTCGCTCCTAGCCTGTTGTCAGAAGCCTGGACTCTCCTCCTTCATCTGAGTGTTAGGTGCTGTTCCAGTGATGAGAAATGTTGCTAGTACTGCTCTAAATTTAATGGAAAGTCATTATGACAGCATGGGGTGTGGGTAATGATCCCCCTCTCTGTGTCTTAAGCCTGAAGGACTGGATATCTTAGGATGCTTGACAAAGCCAGACAAAACCATAGCTGACCTGATTTAGCACGATGATAGTCCTTCTTCAATCAACAGGTTCATCTAGAGATCTCTAGAGGTGCCTTCCAACCAACATTTCTGTAATGTGTAAATAGGCACTCCTGGATCACAGTTTTGGATTTGGATGGACATACAAGGTGTAGAAGTCCTGTCTCTTTGCCTGGCTCCTAAGCTCTAACATTATTCAGGTTCTTTTGACAATGTATAATTCCCATTTTCATTCTGAATCTCTCTGATTTTTTCTTGAGTTGAATTTAAGAAGTCTCAAAGCTGTGTTTCCTAACAGCTTCAGTAAAATTCCTGCTTTTTCTGGAGATTAAAGATAGTCTGTCAACTTCATATGTCTCAGTTCTTTTTTTTAACCTAGTACCTGAAATTTCACCCAGTGGGTAACTAGCTTTTTTGGGGGGGTCATCTGTTGGGGGTGTACGTCTCAGTCAGGCATGGGGCAGCAGCTAGAGAGATGCTACACAGGGTTGGGGCAGTGTCTCCCTTGCTGCAGGAACCCAAGGGCCAGAGACAACTGTCCCATGGACTGACCAGCTCCATCAAGCACACAGGGTGGAGGAGCTGGAGAGATGATGGGTGTCATGGAATGAATACTTGATTCGCCAGCTGGAAAAAAGTGGAGAATCAGGTAGACTAAAATGGAAAGCATAAAACTTGAAGGTGTGCAACCTCTGCAATATTAAAAAAAACCTCAGCTGCAGTTCTCCAGTCATCTGAGCCTTGGACATGAGGGGAACAGATGGTCTGTGTAAAGGCAGGCAAGATTCAAGCTGTTTAAAATCTGAGCATTTTAGTATTTGGTTACAAAATCAAATTTGGCCTAACCTGCAAATTCATAGATAAATTGTTCAAGTTAAATTGTTACCAACAGAATGTGAAAACCTTTGAAATGTCATTCATCAATGATGTTATTCTCAGATTATATTTTATCATCATGTAACACTGAGGAAAACTGGCAGGAATGAAAAATGATTATGACAGAAAATGCTACAAAATATGTAAACATTTCCCTTGTTTCACATAGTATTAATATAGGGAGTAAATTTTGCAATCCAGCACAATAAATGTTAAAAAATCTGATGCTCAAAGTCATCAGAGAACATGAAGAGTTATCTGAAAATATCTCCACAGGAATCTAAAGTGACAGGAAGATTTTGAAGAAGAAGGTGGAGAGCCAAGGAGTCTGAGATTGAACATACCGTGGGGCTTGCTGGAATAGGACAAAGGAGATTCAGCAAAGGGAATGAGTGAGGTTAAGAAAGCTCTGACTGAATTAAAAAGGAATGTGTTCCTTCTGAGAGAAGGAAAAAAAATCCAAAATTTTTTAGAAAATTTGAATAACTATCCAACATTTGCTTGATTCAAAGGGAATACAAGAACAGTTCAACACTAGTGAAATTAAATATTCAGTGATAGAAGTAACTTCAACAGACAAGGATCTGATAAATTTCTTAAATGAAAGTCAGTGTGGGGGAAGACTATATGAGGATGAACAAAACACTGTGCTTGAACTCTGAAGTGGAGCAGACATGGAGTGCTGAGCCCAACATACATTTTAAGACTTTTTGCAGACTTGGCAGAAACTCATTAAGACATAAATGTACATACAGTACAAGTTGCAGTTAGCACCACAGCTTTATGGTAGAGACAATATGGACAAATAGGGTATTCTCTTTCAAGTCTGAGGAATTTTATTAGGTATTCCTTTTGAATAAAATAACTTCTTGATGATTATTTTAAGTTCCTCTTCCTTTCTCTTTGTACTGTGACTCTGGGATTGCTGATTAGACCCTTTTCTCTCTGAAATATAGAGGTGGGTCATTCTTTCTCTACTTTGCACAGTTGTTCTCCATTTCAAGTAATATGTTCAGATCAGATGAGATTTAATATTTCTGCAAGCTTCATATGAAAGACACATGCAAAGATAAATATAGTCTGGAAACCTTCTGAATCTACTCAACAGGTTAATGAGCATGAGTCTGTAAGCTTCTACAATACACAAACTACTGGTTTCAGCTATTTTAAGTACATCAGATTTGGTAATGTGATTAACCTGTTGAAGAAATTACCTTTCTTATGCAGAAATGTTTTTTCTCATGCCAAACTCACTGATAACTCTTATGTCACCCTTTTCCCCACTTCAGCTCTGTGGTCACTGAAATCAATGTTTTGCTTCTTACTCTAGTGGGAGTAGGATCAAGCCAACAGCTTTCAAACCTTACTGACTAAGGCAGAAATGCTGACTGTTCAACTCTTTTATTAACACAGACTCATTTCGACACTTAACAATTCAGCCTTTTTTTTTTCAATTGAAAAAGGCATGTTTGGCCATGAATCAAAGTGCCTTTTATATGTGTGTATCCTTCTTAAGCCTCAAAAGGATTACCAGCTTCCCTTCTCTGTTATTTTAGTTATAAATTGATTTAATACAGAATACAATTTGAGGCTATCACATTCCCTTCCCAAGGCTTAATTTTCACTGGTAACGTGACTAAGGTGTGTCAAACAGTAACAATCGACGTGAATCATGCACTAGAAGGTGATCAAAAGATTTGTTCAAACACATATATAAATCTCAAGAAAGATTATGGAATATGCCTGTATCCTTTATACGCTGACATAGATAATTTATTACTTCTAAACCTGAAGATTGTATTTATATCCATTCACACTCAGGAGTTTGTCTGAATGGTTTTACTGCATACTTACTCTGTCAACAGCAGTATTAGATTTCTGACATGCAGCCACTAAGTTTTAGATCTTATATCTATTGAACACACCTGTGAACTGAATTCTGTCTTGGAAATAGGTTTTATTTATATAAAATATAATTTATGTCAGTTTCTGCTTTTGTGACCAGTTATTCTGCTGGGTGAAGATAGCAATATCATTTCAGAGAAGGAGATTGTTGATTTCTAGGTAAGTTAGAAACAAAGAGCTATTTGTGTCTCAGGACTATGTAACTGAGAGGAGCAATCGTAGCCTGGACTCATCCTACACAATCATGGGAACTGGTAAGTAAAGTTCCTGTGTCAACTGGGGTCAAAGAAATTCTTGGGAAATAAATATTCTACTGTTTTATACTCTTTATAAAGCCTGTGAAATTGGAAACTTTTACTCTAAAATGTTATTGCCTCAGGTAGGGGGAAAAGTAAATTTTCATGCACAGTGGGATGTTAAGCCTGCAGCTCTTGCCTCACATAAAGCAGAAATAGTGTTTCTACTTCCATATACATCACACTGGAAATGTACCTGTGTAAAATATGTTTAAGCAGCCTAACATAAAATAATATCAACTTTCTGGAACTATAAGGAGGAAAGAGTAGTTAACTTCAAAAGATTATTGCAAGAATATTGATAGAGATGGGAAACCTCCCCCCATATCCATCCTGACTCCCTCTACAATTTAATTTCAAGAAGATGAATGTTCTGTGCCTGTGATATGTATGCAAGGATCATCCAATAAATCCCAGTCAACATGTCCATTACATAGACAGCGAAACTGTTCCTTATAAAGAACATGTGATTTTTCGCAAGAGACCACGTGGGGCAGTACAGGACTCTGAAGTAAGCTTTGCAGGGGAAAGCAACCAGGCACCTTCCCTCATTCTATTCAAAAAGTTAGACACACTTTGCTGAGACCTGTCCTCCAGTAATAAACACAAATGGTAAAGGCACTTGAAAGAAAAGTTTAAAAGAAAATTATAAAGAAACCAGTTATGCAATTTTGCTTCTGAGCTAGGGTTGGGAAAGAGAAATCACCACTCCTGGAGGCCAGTCTCCCATTGCACTGGAAAGTGCCTGAGCATTATTACATGTTACTTTTAATTCTAGCTTAGACTGCAAAAGATATCTCTCTTCTGAGCAATGCATCAGCACACCAGCTGGAAGTTTTGTTCCCAAGAACAACGGGGCAGAGAGGTTGTGCAAGAGGTCCTTTGTTCAATTCAGTACAAAGTTAAAGAGAGTGACAGTCATGGATTGCTTGAGCTAATTTGGCTGACTTTGCGCTAAGCTAGACCAAAACCACTCTCATGTTCTGTTTCATCTGCATTTCTATGGGACAAGTAACCTTCAGCCTAAAACCAGAAATGAACAGCTCAAATTAGGCTTAAAACCTGCCAGCCATTTGCAAAGCAAATAGTGCCTAAGTCTTGAGAGAACACAGAATAAGAATAGAAGCAAAGTAGAGAAGACTAGAGCCAGTTTTCATCAGTTTGAGACATTTGAAAATGCCTTCTCAGACAACTTTAGAGGATTATGTGTTGCGTTCCCTGTATTGATTATGGAGCAGTTACTATAGATATATGAAATTTTACAATAAAAATTAGAATATATTTTACAGTTTTAAGAAAATCCAGTATTCATTATTTAATGGTATGTAGGATATATCATGTTTGCTGGAAACATAATTTATGCAGAATATTGTTACAAAATTGTAGGTAAAGCCACTCATCAGAGAAAGTTTAACTGTATAATAAGAAGGGCGGGGGGGAGAGAGAGGGAGAAAAAGAGAGCAAGAGAGAGGTGGGGAGGGAGAGAGGAAGAGGGAGGGAGAGGGAACACCTCTATTTATTGTCAATGAGTATGGAAACCTGCGCATTCAGGTATGTGTTTTGCTGCACTCTACTCTGCTTGAAGCCTATGAAAGATCTATTACTGCAAATTTAAATTAGAGGTTTTGAAATCAGAAGTGACTGATGATGAAACAACCAAGATGATTACATTTTTCTACTGTAGAGGATGCACCAGTGTTTTACCATATCAGATGCAATATTATTGTGGCATAATATGCTGCATAAACGTAGCACCAGGATGTATTTCAAGATCAAATCTATCTAGGCTATATATTAAATCATATTTTAATCTTTGTTTTGGTTTGCAGCCCCCTGAACACATTCCAAAGGAGATATAGTCTCCTCCTGTAGCAAAATTGACTGATAACAGGCTTGCTTTTCTTAGCTATGTGTCATGGGCACCCTAGCAACAGGTTTCCAGGGTCCCAAGACCTGTTGGGACCTGTCAAAAGAACTGAGTTACGATAAGGTACCTTCAATATGATTGCAAAATAACTGAATTATAAAAATTCATTTTCTACACAGTCATTTCTCTTGTGACTGGAAATGTGGTGTTTGAGCATGATATTTGCAAAAGCATTCTGGTGAACTGCACTTCTAGTAAACCTGCATTTTCTTACAAGTAGGGAAGGAAGATAAAAATGACCAATTTACCTGTTAGTTGATAGATGTTGAGAGGGATTGGTAAAATGGGGATAAACAGCTGCGGTATTTGGTGAGCGAACCAGCTCTGCCTTTTCCTGCTGGGTTTAGATTGAAGAACAAAATTATGTAGGATAGGATTTTTTTAGAGTGCTTAACATTGGCCTACAGGTCTCAGCAATAACAAGGTAGGCAATGACTCATTCAGAAAACACAGAGTCTGAATCACACAGTATTTTCTTCACTTGGACAAACACTTCTGAACAAAGAGAAAAGTGTTTAGGATTGGTTCAAGTATTTTTAAGCTCAAGTTACAGGTTTTTAATATGTAACAGCAAGTGTTTGCCAATTTGAGCTTCTTAGGGAGCTCAGATGTATAGATAGGTCAAGATCCAAGAAATCAATCCCAATTATTTTTTTCAGTTTTCTAATCTTCCACTGATGAATCATGAGAGGCTGAATCCCAGACCTCTCCTGTTAAGGGACAGAGAAAAATGTGCTCCAGTGGATTCAAGAATATTACTTGCAGTGCTTTGAAAAGCCTCAATATTTAGACAGAGGGTGACTAAAACATTATCCTCTTTGCCACTAATATGGTTAGGGATTTTAACCTTAAAAGTATTTTGCAATAATAACTTGAAGTTCAGCTATTTAGGTGGCACTTTTCCTTGTGTTAAGTTCTGTATTTACTTTAGGCTGTTTTCTTAAAAATACAGTTTAAATTTATACTCGTAAGAATTAAACAAAATACCAGCTAAACACTTCTTTGTTTATAACAACTTTTCCCCAAGGAGTAAATCTTCTCTTCCAGTTAATAGTAAATGATATGGGATGGACTGCACTCAGCACTCTTTTTCATTAGGCTGATGTGCATTTCATGGCAGTGCTTTGCTGTGAGATGCCATGTCACTACTTGGAAGACATTAAAAAAGTGCCAGAAGGGGAGCATAAGAAAGCTATGTTGTTGTTTCAGTTCTGGACCCTCTTGAGCTGTCTCCTGTGTTTGTGAAATTGTATAGTTTTCAGACTGACTGTGTTATGAACTTCTAATACACTGTTTAAAATTGCATCTCTTTAGTTACACAAGTCATCAAATTAGAGCACTGTTTCTGCTGGGTTCTTAAACAGGCAATGATGGCAGTGGTGGGCCTCAGCTAGAGAGTGGGGGGACACACGTGCTGTGTTGAGAGCTGCTGACCCTCTGGGAGCTTAGGAAAGCTGAAAGGTCACTGGAGTCTTTGCAGACAAAGGAAGCTAAAAACCAATTATGTTTGCTGGGATTTGTCCATATTACAGCTATGACTACCATCTTCTAATACACACGTCATAAAACTGATGAAATCATAGTTTTGCTAGCAGTAAAAAAGATTTCTTTTTTCAATCTCCTCTGTTTGCTTTATGTTCCTTCAGAGTTTTCGGCATTTTGAGACCATTCCTGGCTTTCAATCAAGTTGTTTGGGGGAATGTCAAAACAGAAAATAGAGCAGAAAGCAAGGGTTGTTTGTGTTAGCTTCATACAAGCATAATTCACATTAGCTTTGTCTGATTTACATTGCCATAAGCACAGGTGAATCAGGCCCCAAATCCCATCCTTCATACTCCTTTCTGTCTAGTCAATTAACTACTTCTTTAAGAAATGATTGAAGATGTTACATTTACATAAAAATGGAAAAAACACAAAGTGATTTCATACCTGTAAATTTGTTGCCTCTTCAGACCACCAGATTTCAAAGTCTTTTTGCAGCTTCATCTTGACTTTTTCCATAAGAAGCTGCAGGTGCTCAATCTCTACCTTCAGTCCTTTCAAGCGATTGAACACTGTTTTATAACTAATGTGAAAAGAATAAAGTGTATTACAGATCTTCCAACACATATCTGAAAAAAGCTTTATCCTACCTAGAATAATTACAGATTTAAACTACAAAAGAATGCATAATAATCAGAAATACAGGGGACATAGACAGAGTGGTGGTAGGAGGAGACATCTCATGTTTTGTAAGAGCTTCACTGGACAGTAAGTACAAGAAACTTATCCCACAAAGCTTTTATTTCACTAAAGAAATTAGTGAAATTCAAGTGGGATCAATATTGATTAACAATTAAAATACAGCTTCAGTCAAATATGTCAATTATTTCTTTTCATTTCTCAGCATGTTACCATTAATAAACAACTGGTCACCAGAGCCCAGATTCAGATAGGAGCTGAGACTGATTCCCCTTTCAGATGGAAGCTTCATTAATGAGGCCTCTCGGCTGACATATAGTTGGAGATTTACCAGTAGTATGAAATAGCCAGAATAACCTCACAGATTGTACGTAACATGAATGCTAGTAAATCACTTAGAACTGATATCCTGGCATCTATTTTCTTTTATCCTCCTAGCTACAGAGACATTAGAGCAAGGACTGGTTAACCAATGTGTATTCTGCATATTATTTACACTTAGTCAATTCTGTATAGCTTAAAGGTTTTCCGTAGGTCAAGGAAGGCAGGACATCTCTGAATCAACCAAAAAGGTTCACAATACATTTGGATTCAAACAGTAAGTTTCTAACACTAACCTCAGAGAGGACATTAACCTATTTTTATTTATTTTTAGCCATTAGCCCAAGCTTAAATTTTCCCCACTCATGTACTGTGGCACCTTACAGACAAACCAACAGCATATACACAAATTTAAAAACTATTAGTGAACTACAAAGCTGACATTTTTAAAACATCAGAGAAAACCCTGAGGGTAGGTGTGTGTGCAGAATTGTAATTGTGCATGGGGTTGTTGCAACATACTATCAGTATAATTTATTTTCTGAAGGATGGTAGAAGTAATACCTTTTTTTTTCTTCTTGCAACATACTATCAGTATAATTTATCTTCTGAAGGATGGTAGAAGTAATACCTTTTTTTTTCTTCTTCAATTTGCATTCGAAGTTTCTCTTCTACTGGATCAAGTGTATTTAGCTCTTCAGAAGGGCTGGAAACAGCTGTAAGAGAAATGATCAGATGTAAGCAATGACTGTATGATGTCAAAAGAAGCAACTTTTAATTAGAATAAAAACTATTTTTTAAGAGGTAGGTAATCAAATATGGTTCATTAACCGTATCTCTCTTCTGGAAATGTTTCTTCAAATTCCTTATTTAGGCCTTACTTATAAGAGACACTTGATAACTAGTGATTTGAATGAAGTTGCTTTTAATTTTTTTTTTTTCAGTAAAGACTGGAATATTCATTTTAGATATGAATAGAAGTGACTTTGCTAGTCCATTTTAAAATGGCATAAAACCCTAGGAAATGCATTCAACCTGACAGTTTGGCTACAAAGACAAGACCAGAACAGCAAAGTTGTCGCAAAATGAAGATACAACAGTAGCTGTGCTGGTGCCTGGAAATAGAGTAACAGAAAAAAGAGTAAAATACAAATCCCAAAGGAGAAATTAACTTTGGTAAGCAATAAATTCAGCCAATTAGTATAAATAAGGAAAATACCCTGAAACTACATGAGAAATTTTTCAAGGTAAAGGAGAACTGAGGAAATACCTTAAGAGTAGTCTAAGCTAACCTAAGAAAGCATCTTAGGATTTCCCTATCTTATTAACAGAGCTAGTTAGCATGCAATACACAACATGCTTATTCCGAGAGATGGCAAAACAGTCTTTCCATCATGGGTTATATGTTCAGCAGTGAAAGGAAATGTAAAGTTACCTACTAGTATTACAACAGTTTCTATTTCTAGGATGAATGAGAATAGCTTAAGGTTCCCAAGAAAACGTGTTTAACCTTTTTAACTGACGAAAAATGAAAGAAACAGAAGATTTGCTGTACAGTACATGCAAGTTTCCATCCTGACTATTATTTCTGCCAAGAAAATAAATTCTGTGTCATCCTATCATGAGGCCTGAGGAGCGCACCCACTCTTCAAGGAGAGGAATTCTGTCTGGCACAATAGGGCAGTAATGACCCCTCTCCACCTGTCAGTGTGCCAGCTGAAACCATTAATTGTTTGTTGTAGTACCCTGAACCTTAATACAGATGAAGCTGAAAGCATTTTATTTCACTTAGAGTACTTAGGGCAAGCATGTTAATACAGACGGCCAAGGAGGACAAAGCCCGTGCACAATTCTTATTTCATACATCAAAAGGCTTTGCTGGATGTGCAGATTACAAAAGAACAATAGCGTGATGACATTTGTGGTGGAGAGGGTACCCTCAAAAGATTCAAAAATAAACTGCTTGGAATGTTAAAGTGAACGCACAAGCCAGGAGGTGCAAACGTCATGGCAGAGGAGATGCTACAACAGTGGTGTTGTATAACAAGTTATACCTGAACACAATGGGTAATAAGGCGGCCATCATAATCATGCCAGAACCTTTAAGGAAAGCAGTAAACTTTTCAATGATTACAGGGGATCAGGATTTTCAATTTTGTCAGATTTCATCCTTAGGAGAAGATGTAATGTGGGAATGTGCAGAGCTACACAGGGAACTTGTGGGGAGACACTCACTGCAGAGCTCCTGAGGCTCCACGCTTGCTCTGACCTTCATGAATACACAGCATCCAGGCTTGGGAGAATTGTGCTCTTGTGGAACAAGCTGAAACGATTTAGGGAGCTACTGCCTCCCAAGTGAACCATGCTCACAGACCATGTGAGCATCCTTAATATGTTTCTTTGCAAAGCCAGCCAGACTTAGCTTGAGCCGTCTTCAGCAGTGGTTAAACGGGACTCTCCTGAGCACACCAAAGTGCATTTGACCTATTTGCACAATCTGTTACGGGGTCTGAGTTCTGGAGGTAGCAGCTCTAGCCCCTTGTAGTGAAGGGAAATAATAGAGAGTAGAAGACAGCAACATCTTAAAATGTTAATGCTGTTTCTGAAGTGAGGACTTCCCTACATGAAAACATCACCAAATTCTGCTAGTCATTAGAGTGATGCAAGGCCATAGTATTGCAGCTTTCCTTCCCTGATTTATTTAGACATCTAGTACTTGGAAAAATATTTTTGCACTAGCTCTGAAAGGGCAGCCAAACTTAGGCAGAATTTTGTCACATATATAAAAACACCAAGAAAAATGTTTTTTCCTGCTGCTGATTACATGCTGTAGAAGGGATTATTTGGTTGCAAGTTACCTTCAGAAATAATAATAAAGCCTTTTACATGAGATGAGTACCTCTATCACACAAAGGCTCCAGCATCCTCAACCCTGAATACAGCTACATCTAGCAATATGCTGGTGATGAAAGCAAGAAACAAAGCTGTGGGCAAGGTGAGCAGCACAAAGTTTTGTATATGTACAGAATGGAAAGAGATAAGTACACTGCAAGCTGATGGGGAGCAGCAAAAATAGCATTGGATATTTCAACAAGTAAATGGCTAAAACTTAGACATCCATCACTGTGTTCCAGTCACAAAAGCAGAAGAGATCTGATCACAGTGTCAGGTGAAGTCCAGCGGTAAGTCAAGTCCAGGACATGCGTACTTGGGTGCTGCTTTGTAAATTCTCTGGTGTCTTTTCCCATGATGTTGCATTTTCCATTTCAGCTTTTTGTCATGCCTGCTCATTGCAACACCGTGCTTGTGAACTGAATAGCATTCTGCTCTAAAGACTAGACCTTTTGAATCTGCCGACTGTAATACATACAGATGATCACATGGCTCTTTCCTGATGTTCCAAGCAAAAGAGATCTATGGTCTGCTGGAGTGTGTTTCAACCCTTTTGTTTGCTGCTGCTTCTGCCTTCTCTTCATTCCCTGCTACTTCTTTTCTCCTCTCTCCCCTTTACCTTTCCTGAATCCCTGCAGTGGCTTCTTTCTGCCCCTGGGCTCCTGCTGCTGCTGCCTCACACCCCTCTCCTCCCACCAGCCCAGGCAATTTCAGCTACAGCTGAAGCTGGGAAGCTAAGGCAGAGGTTACTGGATCATTGTATCTCATGTCTAATGTTAGCATTCTTCAGTACACAGGCTCAGTTATTTTAAAATAATATGAGAGGGACAACTGAGTGAATAGACAGTAAAACATAGAAAGCATAACATTTACTCACAAATTTAAGATAGATACCTAAGAATAAATACTTTCTTTTTGCCGCAGGTTTTTATTCCTCTGCCTGCTTAGAGAGGAAGGTGAGCTCTGCATGAGCTGACACTCAGTTCATATCATTAAGGTTTGTGGGTTTTGTTTCTTTTTTTCACAAAGAAGATTGTAAGAGGCATTTTAAGGTATAATTAATGATTTTATTCTAATGAAAGGGCCAATTTTGGAGCACAGGAAGTGTGCAATGTACAACACATTCCACATCACCAATCATACAGTACCAAAAAGAAATGATAGCACCTGCTAACTGGATCACTATTTCAAAGCAATACGGCAAGCATGGATGAAAAACACTATTTCTAGCATAAGATACCAAGTGTTATCAACATAGTTTACTGCAAGCTGGCAACAACTTGAAATACTCTGGCAGATTCTTGTCTACAGTCAGAAAATTTTGCAAGAAACTCGCTGTGACCCTGAACTTTATACTCTCTGGGGTGCTCATATATTTCTCGACCTGAGCATATCCTAGAAGTCAAACTCGTAGGGATTTATTGTCTTGTGCCTCAAATAACATTGTGCCCTGCCCTCCAGCTGTACTTTTGCAGTCAAAGATTTTCATTTTTTCACTGGATAGTCTTGTGTTTATCTGCTTAAATTTATAGTCACTTTAAGTAACCAAATTTAGAATTGACTTCAGTATCCAGTTAATATTTTTACTGCTTTATTTATCAGCTTTGCAGCTTTTGGCAAACTCAGGCTTTAGTGCTTTCAAACTGGAGCATATGCTGTCATTTGGGTTTTGTAAAAAGAACTACCCATCCATTGTTATTCAGGATCAGCTTACAAGTAATTCTCCCCTTCTTCTTTCTTATTCCTCCCCTGGGCCATGTCAACCTATGTTTGTCACCAGGCACCATGTGTGTACAAAAGCAAAGATGGGTATCCACAATGAAACCCAAGAGAAGCAGAAAATACCCTAATGTCTCGAAGGGTTTATATTGTAGGTTTTAGAGCGATTTATGACTTTATCCTAATGTAATAGATTTTTAAAAAATTTCAGCCAGTTGGTCATAAGCATACATTGAAACTAACTGTCCTATTTCCAGCACTTTACAAGTTTGTGCATGTGTGGGGGATTAAGGGCATGTGTATTTTGTTGATTTTTATTTTTATTTTAATCACTGTATTTAGTAAAAGGGTGCATCGGTACGCTGCTTTTCTTTGCATCATTATTGTTTTACTGGCTTATTGGCTCAAACTAACTGACTTCCAATGCACACCTGGAAAGTGAGGCTATTTTTTCCAGTCTCTGTGAGCTGTTTTGGCTAAATACAGACTCACACTTCAATTCCCTCAAGTTTCTTCTTTGAAACTAGTCATCTGTATATTTGCTCCTGAAAATACATGGCATATGAAACAGAAGGCGTTGCCTTCACATCAGCTGCACTCAAGCCATGAAAGTTTCTGAAACCATTGTAGCTAAAAGTTCTCTGTTGGTTTCCAAACATACAAGTACAATATATTGGGGGGTAAAATAAAAAAAAAGCAGCTTCAAGTTTAATATGTTCCATACACGCCAGTTGATCTAGTGGAATAGTAACATAGCTGGGTCTTAGTCAGGAAACCCCTACTAACTCAGATTCTTGCCTACACTTAATAAATGCATTTTACCATTCGATTACATGAGATTATTGTTGCATCGTTTATCTTGTTCATAATATTAGGTAAACCCATACCTGATATTTGAATGGTCTTTCTCTGCCTCCCAAGAAGGGGGATGGTTTGTCATCCATAAGTTTTGAGGCTTCGTTAGCATTCATTTCTACATCATCCAAGAGCTTTCAAGGAAAAAAAAAAGTCTCTCTGCTAAGTTTTGTCATGCTTTTCTTGAACGAAAAGGATGGAAAATTCTTCTGAAGTTGGTTGCTTATCATGAAGACTGCAATTGCAGTAA